AAGCCTTTCTGCTGCTATACTGGTACAACACCTGCAACTCCAGGCCTACAGCCCACAGTATGCAATCTCATTGGTAAGAGCTTCACAAAATTGCATTTTTGAATAACCCTAAAACCAAAAGAAACAAATGTTTTAAATAAGCCTGTTGAAGTTGACAGCAGTCTGCATATGTCAAAGCAACTCAGGAATTACCAGCATCTCCATACTGGGTTCATCCTTCTTCTGTAACATATTGCTGAGTGTAGTCACCCTGACAATAAAAGCAGTTTTGATTCTACTAATGTCATTTCTGGGTTGTTTTTGTTTTGTTTTTCTAGCATAGCACTAAATGCTAAAAGTGGCAGCTAAGGCACCGTACCAGTGAAGTTCTTAGCCACAAATCCCTGCACCCACATCATGCAAAGATAAATCTGCCCATGTGGAGCTTAGAGTAGGATTGGGGTCCAATTTAGCCTCACATCCACCTATAACCTCGGTTTTCAAGCTGTTTTTCTTCTAGTTATTGGCACACACAGCACAAAGAATCGCATTCCTGATGTGACACATCACTGAACCAGCAATGGTGACCTTCAGCTATTCTACAAATGATTAATAACTGAGGCTATGTATTATTATTTTTAATTTTTTTCCCCCCCCCCGTAGACTGGGTTGTCTGGTAATGTAGTTTAAGTCAGATAGCTTAAAACAACCAGTTTTAGTCATGCTAACCAAAGAAATGAGGGTGATCCTACATGCTGCGGGTGTTTATGTGTATGTTAGTCATAATCTTAACCCATTACCCAATTATCAACAAAATTCAACAAAAAAAAGTAGCAATTTGAGTTCCAGAAGTGAAAATATGTGGCTGGGGAGAAGAGGGAGACCGTATCTGAGCTTTTCTATGTGAGAGACAGCACGAGTTCAACCCTTAGCCAGCACCAGAGAAGACACACATGTGAGCGTGTGTGTGCGAGAGCCAGCGAGCGAGATGTTGTGAAAGCCCCTCCGGTGGAAATAGCATCAGGGAGATCTGAAACCACATAAGACACCAGAGAATGAAGTTGTAAGAGCTAATATGGGGGAAACCAGTACTCACAAACATGTGGGGTTTTTTCCATCGTATGAACTCACGATTCAGACTCTGTGTCACTGTGTGACCTTTACAGATACTTTCCAATACTCTGAATTGCTCATGTACACAAATTGGAAGCCAGGGTATTTACATGTGAGAGCAACCATATATATCATCGTCAGGGAGAGCAATAAACTCATTAAAGTTTTATTCTTACCAAGTTTTATTTCTAAGCTGAACATACCCAGGTTCTCCCCAGCCCCTTCATGGATGAACTGTGTAACAGGAGGCTGCAAGCTTCCTTGCTTCCTCTCCAAAGACAGGAGGAAACTGGTTCTCACTGGAAGAAGAAAGTGCAAGGGGGAAGCAGGGCTGTAACTTAGCTTTCATGGGAGAATGAGAGTGAGAAAGCAAGGACAGACTGTGTTACAGAAGTAACTGCAGCAGATTGCACATTCTTCCAGCTGGTTCTGGCACACAGCAGTGCCTCTCCCTGTCCTGTAGCTCTGTGCTTGATGTCCCCTGCTCCCTTCCCTGAGCTGCTCTGCAGGGCAAGTGTCCTTCAGCAAGAAAGAGTTCAGGCAACCAAACACTGCAGACCGGCACTGGCTGGCTGTGGTGGCAGAGACTCCTTCAGGGGAACTGTGGAAACAGCTACACAAGGTATCATGGAGGCAAAGAGAAGAGTCCTTGCTGGCAGGAAACCTGGGTGGCAAACAGGTTATTAGTCAGCCTTGCTTGGAGACTTAGAATCATAAAGTTCATAGAATATCTCCAGTTGGAAGGGACCCATAAGGATCATCCCTCCCTACCACTGAGTTATAATTACTTTTATTTCCTTCCAACTGGAAAAGAGGGACAAGTAAAGCTTTTGTTTTGCACTTGTGACTCATGCATTCCTCCTATCTTCATTCTCCAATAATGATTTAGGGCTCATCTCACTCACCTGAGCAACTCTTACTCATCTGTATGGCACAAGAAAGAAAGTCTGCAGAATGAGGTTCATAGTTAGAAACTCCACAGAAAGATTAAACATACTACAGAAGGAGGAAGGATTCTCCAGAAAGGCTTCAAAGCTGCCTTGGTCACATATCTTTTGAAAAAAAAAAAAAAAAAAAAAAAAAAAAGGTCTTTCCAGGTACACAATGATAACTGTACATAACTAGAATTAAAATAAGGAAGCACCATTTACCTACTTAATTTCCTGAACAGCCCTTTGTTAAGAGCTGAGTGAAACCAGCCAGTTAAGATTAATTGATGATTTTGAAAATCAACAGAATGGGCAGAACTATATAGAAATTGTATATATTACTGTAAGTGTATGAGAAAAATCATGATTCTGTAATATAAGTTACATTAGGCAAGTCTTACAGAGCCACACAAGTAATGTTTCACTGCAGACATTCTTAATGTTAATCCGTAACATAACTAGCTGCAGTAAGAAAGAGGGGAAAAAAAAACCCACCCAGTTTGTAGCAACCCTATATCTCAGACAGGGTGATATAACATAACATATGTTTTAAAATGATAAAGACTTCCAAGAATAAGACGTAGTTTCCAGAAAAATATTCATACACGCCCAAACAAAAGCAAAATCCTGTAATAATTGAATAATTGCAGCTTTCTGTATCCAAGAAGTTAAAAAAAAAAAAAAAATCCAGCCCAAACCAGCCCTTTTTAGTGGCTTAGCTGGTCAACACTCTTATACACAAAGCCCGGTGCTCTTCTCGAAAACCTAAGAATTAATCAGCATTATGTAAGAGATTTTTATAACACTCTAAAAATACATTGTGAATTCCTTTCCAGTGTCGGACTGAGAAGCTTTAAAGTACTGCCACCCCTCATCCCCTTTTTTAACAAAGGCTGGATCTTCATTTCTGATATTAGAAACTTAAATTTGTCTCAGTATTTGTGCCTCAAATCTCATTAATTACAGTACTGTCTTCATGAGATACAACTGCTGCTGCTAAGAGCCCTGTTTGTGCTCAAAATGACTGGAGCAAGGGCACAGATACGCAGATACTATATGTGTATAAACACTAAAGAATTAATGACATGTAAAATTTCATAAGACTATCTGGATGTTTTCATGTTAGTTTACCTGCTTACTAAGCAAACTTACAGGTGATAAGGTCTATGTGGTGCTGATAGGTATGCACCATGATAGCATTCTTGCAAAGGCAGTTGTAACATTAGCCTGGCAAATCTACAGCGGAGTCCCACCAGTACCTTATTCCTTTTTGTGCTTTATTTTTCATATGCATAATAAATAGGTACTAGCACTATTTCTGTATTTTCCACTGAAAGATCTTTACAGAAAATTTCAAAGTCGTCACCTGAATGTTAATGGTAGCCTGGGAACCAGACCTGTAAAGAGAATGAGCTTTAGCACTGTTGTTGGGAGCTCATGTCCAAGCATCCACCCCTACCCTCACAAAGTTCATTCCACTCCGCCCCAAATCACGATTTATTCTATGAACATGGAAGGCATCTGCAGTCCTTCAGACCAAAATAAATAACAAGAATGCAAACAAATCACATGAAAAATGGGAACAAAGAGTTTTCAGCTGCGAAAATCTTGTCATGGAATGCGTATCCAAAGGACATTACAACATCCTCATCATTGCATTTTTAGGCAACACCTCAACACTGCCATTTTCCAGAACAAAACTTTTCCCCATACAAGGTTGACACAACGCTGATACAGCCTTCTTCTGAAGATAGCCCCCCCACCCTTCAAACCACAAACAATCAAAACTATTGAGGCAAACAAAACAAGAGATTTTGCAGGGAGGAGAAGAAAAACAAAAGATGCAAAGAAGACTGCCTTGCCCAGGAATGATCTCACCACTATTATCAGTTTCAGGAGAAAGCTGTGCTGACACTATGGCTGATGGGTGGCAGCACAGGAGGCAGTCAAGGTATCTGATGGGATGATAATGGCTCTTCCACAAGGGCAAGCAAATATTTAGATGAAAACTGTACTCTGGATTAAAATAATCCTGTACCAAAGTAAGTGTCAACTGTCCTTTGTGTGCTTGCCCAAGGATATCCATGCTCACTCTTTTCCTTCCCTCAGCAACTCTTATTTTTTATATATTTTACCCAAGTCCTTTGTTCTCTGTCCTGATTCTTTCTCTGCCTTTCTCTCTTTGTACCATTTTCTGCTACCCGTACTCACACTGAATGCAATCAGTCACATGGCTAGCCTCCACCTGAACTCCATGGTACAAGACATGTAAGCGTTACTCAGGAATGAATGAGGGCAAAATACCTCCCTTTGGTCCACGCCTCATTAACGTGCCCTTTTCAGATTCTCTCCCCAGTCTTTCCCCCCTCCCATCACCCAAATTCAGTGTGCATTGTTTTTGTACTTCTTTCCTTTTTCTGTTCTCACTCATGGTTATTTTTGACTCTTTCTCTTCCTCTGTTAGCTTCTCCTACCCTTCCATTCACTCCTTCCCCGACCGTTTTCTCCTGCCATTTCCTACACACTTTCTTCTCCAACCATAACCTGCTGTTGCCACCTTGCTCATTGTTCTTCCTCTGGATTTGCTGGCGTAACTTGGAGGTAAGCAGGAGCCTTGGTGCTGCCATGATGTGGAGGCCAGGATGACTGCTGCCAGCAGGCCCAGAAAAAAAAAAAAAAAAAAAAAAA